CATCACGATATGTTTGCTATAATGTCGTTGCTTCACGTGTGTAACATGGTGCGTTCACTGCTGTGTTTGCAATATTATGAAACTTTAATTATTTATATAAAAATGTCGATTGCACCGAATTTTAATTGCGATATATAGCATCGGCTGAAGCTGCACAAGCTGCTAAATTAGTTATTTCAATTAAAAAAAATATGAACACCTTTGTGTAACAGCTCTCAGATCTGTATGAGTGAATTGAATTGTTAAAAAATTTCAAAGGACTCACGCTCCGCGACTCGATTAGCCGCCGAGTTGTGGTGATTTAAATTGACTTCACGTCACTGTAGTGCCATCTGTAGGCGAGGTGCCGTCAAGTTAAATGAAGCTAAATTGCACAGAGCTGTTGGGTGCACCTGTCAGCTAAATATGTCTAGTGTGTGCACTGAGGATTTAGAGCAGAGGTCTGGATCCCTACCCAGACGCCCTCCTATCCGGATCCGGACATATAACCTATAAATTATTGAGAATTATTCAGTTCTGACGAAGCATTTCTATTTTAACCTGCGCAGCTTTTCTAATCTTTACGGCTCTGGTCACATGATGCTGCTGCTGTTTATTATAGCAATGATTGAGAATTGAATACCACAGGTTCAGTTTGTCCCATCATCCACTAACATTTGAATTCGGCACGGGCGATATTTGAGTTGTTGGTTTTATGTTTGATGTGCAATACTCTGTTACAGTGGAATATGAATTTATTGGTTTAGAAGTTGGATGTTTTTTTTTCGTGTGTGTGTTTTTTAAGTCGTGAGTGATTGTGCGGACGTGTTTGAGCGTGTTCGGAGATAACTGTGATGCAGCGACGCTCAGTCAAAGACAAATCTCCCTTAAGGTGACAATAAAGTAAATCTTATCTTAAGTCAGGCCGTGCAGTTTCATCACTTGAAGAAGCTGCAGGAACGCTTTGAACCCCCCACCCCCTCCCACACACACACACACACACACACACACACCGGAGGTCGTCTTAAAGCTGCTTGATGTTTTGGAGAGAGATGGATAACGGCTCCCGGCTCTCGAGTGTAAGAGGAAACGCTGCGGAGCGTTTTCTGCTGGATTCAATCTTCGGCTCTGAACGCAACACAGTGTTCAGGAAACGTTCTCACCTGAGACAAAGGGAGAAGTTAAATCACCCCGCCCCCGCCCCCCATCGGTGACAGACTCGTCTCTGTGTTACATTTAGTCTCATCCACAACAGCGGAGCGAGCTTCACTTCCTGCATCACCGACACAATTCACAGCCAACGGCAAACAGATTAAAGGTCAGAGGTCACGGCAGAAAATATTCCTGCAACTGCAGAATGATGGTGAGGATGAAAGTGAGGAACAAAAATGTGAGGAGAGGCAGCAGATATACACACAGACACACACACACACACACACACACACACACACACACACGCATTTCAACACATTGCAGTCATCTGTCCCTCATGACTCTGTCTGTCTCCTTCTCCTCAACATTTAGAACATTTCACACCCCTCTGTGTGTGAGTGTGTGTGTGTGTGTGTGCGTGTGCGCTTGTGTCTGTGTCTAACTGTGTGTGTGTATTTGTGTGTAACAGGGTGTAACTTTGTGTGTGTGTGTTTGACAGCTTCACTCCTTGACAAGGTGTCTGACACTTCTTCTCTGTTTGTAAGCCTTCATGAAGTAAGTGTGACAGCCTGAAAACACACACACACACACACACACACACACACACACACACACACTCTCTTGTTACTAGGTAGATTTTACCATAATGAGTCAGGTGTGTGTGTGTGTGAGATGTGCAGCGATGTCGTCATGGCGCTGCAGTAAATATCTACAGTACAGACATGGACAACAACACGCGTCCAACACGTCAGATTTGAAACGTAACATGAGTGTTGGGCAAAGTGCTGACTCTCAGTTTTTACACAGTCTAACTTTAAAGACCTTGGTTGTCATGGTTACAGTAACAGCCATGTTTACAGTAATGAACAGTCATTGCTGGGTTAGGTTTAGGTAAAGATGGTGGTTTGGGTCAAAATAAGTACTTCCTCAACATTAGACGATCTTAGTTGTCATGGTTACAATAATAACAACGAAAGGACATGGATAAAAGATTCGACTTAAACTGCTGGTTTCACATGGGAGTCGAACACCACTCACCACCACAAATACCTCCTGACATCTCTACGTCACCCACTCTTTTCCCTTCGCTCCTGTCATCATTACGACGACCACTAGATGTCGCTTAGCAACAAAACCTAATCATGGGTCCTAATCAAGCCGCCGCACAGATGACCCGTGGGCTCGCTGTTCAGTCTCTGTGTCTTCCACAGTCCTCCTCAGTTTTTGGGGACCAGAATGAATCTCACAAATATCTGCTAATGAAAGTTTGTATTGATCGCAGGTGGAAGATTTGCCTTCTGTCCGTGACTGGAAAGCAGACGATGTTGAGACTGAGAAATCAGAATAAATCACATATTCTTAAGTGTCACTTGAGGACACAGCAGCCATGACAAGGAGAGAGACGCACCTTTTTAAAGATTAACACGAGTGATTTATTTAACAGAAATCACTTAAATCTATTTTTAACAAAGACTCACAAAGCATGCAGTAAGATCAGTGTGAGGTGCGTGCTGTGTGTGTGTGTTTGCATGCTGTGTGTGTGCGTGCTGTGTGTGTGTGTGTTGTAGGATGCACAGAATAGACAAAGAATAGCAGAAGAAACTGAGGCTGCCTGCAGAGAGAGAGGATGATTAACGGGGCCTTGGTTTTACAACCCGGTGAACGCGGGGCTCAGGTGTCACCGATGAACATGCAGCAGGTAGCAGGATGAATCAAAGCACTGCCACACGAATAACAACAGGGGTCGCCACAGTGGTAAACTTCATCTACTGAACAACATGTGCAGTCACATATTAAATATGAAACTTTTATCATGAAGTTTATTGTTGTTCAGTTAATTAAAACAGCTGCTGTAGTTCTCCTCTGATGAGGATTTGAACAGCCTCAAATTAAAACCCAAAGTTGACGCCTCAATCTCAGAGTCATTGTTTCATTTCAAGTGCCGTTGATTGAAGAGGCAACACAACAGAAAAAAACAAACAAAAAATAAAGTCTCTCTGTGCAAACATGTACAAACTGCAGCGAGCAGCCATGAACTGGAAACCACAGCTTCTAGACGTCAGGTGAAAGTTTTCCCCTGACAGGAGGCCGTTGCTCCGATGACATTGAATCAGTAATTGACTTTGTGAGCTAATAAACTTTTCGTTTGAGGTGTTCCATCCAAATGAGTTTGATTCGAATGCAGGGCTCCCGGCTGCGAGTCAGAAAATGTGCCGGCAGCCCGAGAAAATCACAGCGGCTGCTCCAGTTCTGTCTCAGCAGTTGTTCCATTATTCACCGTCCACAGGGCTGCTTGAAGATTTATCTCTACACGACATCATTACAGCTTGTCTGTCTCCTGTTCGGCTCCGGATGAGGCCGGTTTAATTTCACCATATTACAGCGATACCTGAGAGTGGAAGCCGGTGGTTAAACTCGCCCTGACGTGTGTTGTGAAGCGTCAGAAAGCTGATTATGAACCCAGCAGAAGCTCTGATGAACTTTTTCTCACACTGGAGATTACGTTCAGCAGAAAGTAATAATCTACAACATTTTCATGTAATTGAACAAGCGGTGAAGACGGCAACAGCTTAACCGAAACCACGCTCATCATAGTATCGCATTAAAAATGTCTCTCAGCTGCGTTTCTCTGTCTCGTTTCATAAAACCTCAATCAACAGTTTGTGTTTGATGCAAAGAAGCTGAGTTCAGTTCTTGTCAGCAAAACCTAATATATACACTACAAATGAAAACTCAGCCGTTCGCAATTTAAGAAATATATTGAAATACCATGTCATATTTAATAGTTGTAAATGTCTTTCATGGTCAGATTTCTCTGAAGCGAGCAGCAGATCTCATCCTTCCTCACAGAGACAAAAAATAAAACTGAATTTGATTTTGGGTGACTCGATATTTCTGACGAGTCGGTTCCCAGATATGTGAAACTTTTGCTGCAGTTAAATAATATAATTAAGTGATGACAAACTGAAGTGAGATTTAATATACACACTTCCTCCTCTCTTCTCCTTTCAGTCTGCCCTCCCTTCAACATGTTGCCTCCCTCAGAGATAATATTTTTATGAATATTTAGGACCAGAGGATGACGTCTGTCCCGGTCTGTCACCAGTGTATGTGTAGTCTGACTCAGCGGATGTAGGCTGTGAGTATACACCTGCCATTGGGCGCCTGTTCCAGGTGGCGTCCTCCTCCCCTTCCTCTTACAAAATCCCCCTTCACTTCAGAAAACAACAACATCCTCCCAGTTGCAGCCTACGGCTAAAAAGATGACGTGTTTTGATGAAGTTGCCATTTTAATGACAGCGCTCACCTCCCCACGTGCAAAAGTTCCACTTACGACACTATTTTGCAGGAGCATTGTCGCTGCGTCCTGAGCTCAGCGCCGCCCGAGACGATTGTGATTGGTCTTAAAGAAATGCAAATAAGCCAGAGAGTTTTTTTCCCCCTGTAACACACTGATAGTGAGAGCAGCTGGAGATCTGGTCTGGTTATGTGAGACCAGCGTGTTTCTGGGTAAACTTTGCTGTATTTCATGATGTTTTCAGGATGTGAGGTTTAGACTTTTCCTACTCTTCATGTTGCTGTTGTCAGATATTTAGCTGAGGTGAGGGAAGCAGAACAATATGAATCGGTAACACCTTTTATTCTGAGATCATACTTTAGGAACCATAAATAAACGTGATAGTTCTGTAGCTTCCTGTTAAACATTTTACTTAGATTTGGCAGAAGAATCTGCTTCACACTTTCCTTCAAATGTTAAAATAAAATATAAAGTATGTTTGTTGCCAAATCGTTCGACGCTCTCAGCGGAGACGGTGAATTTGAGCTCTTATTTCTGTTCTGATGCATTATGATGTTTTGTGTCTCTGCAGTGCCCGGCTCCGTGCCGATGGAGTCTCTGCAGAATACGCCCTACGAGGAGAAGATCTTCATGCAGTGGAAAGCTCCCAACGAGACCAACGGGGTCATCACACTGTACGAGGTCAGTCAGAGGCTTTTAACTAGGCTCACACTGGTTTAAATCCGTACGGAGAATATTATCTACAATCTGCATGTAGCACATTAGTATTTACTGCGGCGTGCAGGGGTGAGCACAGATAACATTTTGGATTGAAGGCATTGGCCTATGACTGTGTGAAGCCGAGGGTTGCAGGTTTGATCCCGGGTTTAATACTGATCTCACGTCCCAGATCTCTCATTTCACCTCCACTGGCCTTTCAGCAGGTTTTCTTTTTTGCTTTCGTACAACTGCATCAGAAACGGCAACGTCTGTCCGTCGGTTCGGTCTCATACCGCAAAACACTTCAGAGATGGAACAGCCGGAGGATTACATGGATATGAACGTAATTTTACAACAAGATGTGATGCAGATAATCAAAGAAGAGACTTGTTGAGCAGCAAGAGGAGACGAGAGAAGGATAAGTGAGAATGAGAGGAAGGATAGGAGAAGTTCAGGTAGAAGAGGGTAAGACCCAGAGACTCTGTTCACATGGATTTTTTTATTATGATGTTTTCTAATCTGCGTCAACAACACCAAAAAGCTGCGTGTGGAGTCACGGTTGAACATTCCTGATTCTGATTTCAGTTTATTTTTCGGCGCTTTTCGAACCTGAAGTTATGCATCTACATGATAAACCTGCCGGCAACAAAGTCCTCCAACCTGAATGACCACATAGGTCCTTTGTCCCCACCCTGAACTGGTGCCCCCTACCAGACCTCTGTTGCCATGGTTACAAAGAAACATCCATCAGGTTGAAGACAGGAACTCTGTGCAGGCCACTCAGGTTATGGCATACCACACGGAGTATTGTCATGTTAAACAGGTCTAAAGAAAAACACTGTGTGCTGTAGCATTAAGATTCCCCTCACTGGAACTAAAGGGTGGCGCTCCAGATAAGGGTGTCCACATTCTTTTGGCAAGGAATGTGAATTTTAGATCATAAATCAGATTTTTTTTTTTTTTTTTTTTTTTTTGCATAACCATGGCAAATAGTCATAATGTTATTTCTTGTCATAGTTTTGCACCATGCCAGCTCAACAGACCAACGTCACAGAGGGCAACAAGACGCAGAAATTTAAAGGTGCTATATGTCATTATTTTAGTAAAAAAAATTAACAAAAATTATCAACACAGTGTGAAGAAATTACAGATTTGACATTATCACAAAGGCGTCTATAGAAGTGTCCAACCATTGGAGCCTTCGATCACACCTTATCTACTGAAGTTAGCATGCTAACCTTTCCTGTCCTGTGATACCACTTTATACCTCAAGTGGCAATAGCGAATCACTGTAGAGTCTGCTGTCGGTGCAACATGAGAGGATGAGGGCGTAATCTAACCTCTAAGTCAATGAATGGATCAGTAAACGCAACAAACGCTGAAGCGCTTGGCAAAAACCATGAAACAGAAGCTAAACGTCAGCGTTGCTTTCCACCGCCGAAGGAAGTTTTATGCTGAACTCGTAACGTTTCTTCTAGACCGATAAGTTGCTATTAATGCTAACGTTAGCTATGTAGCGCTAACACACACTTACATACAGCACCTTTTAAAGAAAACCAAACAGTGACTTCATCTGTATCTCTGAAGAGTCTTGTTTAAAACCATGTGGAGATGCTCAGGTACAGAAACAGTAGCGTCTATCATTTTTATCATATTTAATCACTGTCTGGTCGTGTTGCTATCAAATCAAATGTGTTACATCCAGGAATAGACGTGAACACTCATAAAATTAGAAATGAGCAGATGTGACTGCAGGTTCTGGCGGAGGGAGGAAAGTGGGGCTGGGAGATGCAGAGAAAGTGGAGGAGAGACTTCTCCCCTGACAGTCCTTGAGACAATGTTTGGGAGTTAGTGAGATAGACAGACTGAGAGATGTGGGCGTACACCGTGTGTGTGTGTGTGTGTGTGTGTGTGTGTGTGGTTATAGACGGTTTATTTGGGTTGAAGTTGAGTTGAGCCCTCTATCTAATGAATTATTGACCTGTTCTCCGTCTCCTGTCTGCCTCTTATATCACTGCATCAAGGAGCTACCTCACACCAAGACCTGGCAGGGCTATTAGTGTGTGTGTGTGTGTGTGTGTGTGTGTGTGTGTGTGTGTGTGTAAGAGAGTCAAGTGCCAAGCAAAAATGTGTGTTCTTGAATAAGTTGGTGAGTTATTGAGTGAAAAGTGTGCGTGTGAGGAGTTAGTGAAGTCGTCAGTGACGGAGTGAGTTCTTAACTTTGTGAATGTGCGTCTGGACGAGAGAGTGTGTGAAGTGAGGAGAGTGTGTGTGTGTGTGTGTGTGTGTGTGTGTTAGAAACTGATCTACGTGCTTGAGTAAGTGTGTGAACATGCGCGTGTGTAGAGTTTGAAAAACCTCCACAAAAACCCAGGACAAAGTTTTCTTTCTTTTTCTCAGTTTGAAAATGTTTTTATTTCCACTTATGAAATTGTGCTTCTTTTATTATTTTTTGTTTCTTGTTGTTTCTTTCTTCTTGTTTTCTTCTTCTGTGTTTTATTTGAAGTGTTGATCCATCAGAAGATGTAAAAACCATCTCAGTGTAGTTTCACATCTCCTCTCTCAGGCTTCTCTCTGGAGCTCTAGTAACAACAGGTCTGTGAGCCAATCAGAAGAGAGGAGGCTCTGAGCCTCTCTTCTGATTGGCTGACTGTTTTCTGAGCGATCCAATAAAAATACAGCAGATTTCAGGTAAAAAACACTCAGAGAAACCAAATCCTGCAAAGGTTTGGATGGTGGGTCCAGGTGGGCGGGGCTTGGTGACTGCTTTGTTGTGACATCACAAAGTTCCAGAAGTCCTGACGGCTGGTTTTAAGGCTCAGTCTCTGAATACAGGCTTTACTAGGGCTTTATGTAATAATAATAACCAATTATTGGTTAATCTAATGTTTTTTTCAATGAATCATTTAGTCTGTAAAATATATAAAATATCCAGGCTGACATCCTTAAATTGTGTTAAATTGCTTGTATGAGTTGACCAAGTCCAGTACACAGAGCTATCAAAAATTACATATAAAATAGAGAAAAGCAGCCAATTTTTATATTTGCTTTTCTTATATAAGCTGGAAGTAGAGAATGATTTTAACTGCTGCCTCTGAAGGCTGTGGCACGCTCTTCTGTCTGCACATGAGTGAATGACCATGGGATACAAACTGCTTTCTTTTACACTTGTTGATGTCTATTTAACATGTCTGTAGTATTTCTGAGAGGAAGCTGGATCAACCCACTTCACTTCACAGTTTCTACTTCTCATTAAATTTGAGAACTCGTGGTAAAAGTTACGAATTCCAATACTTTTAACGGTTTATAAATAGTTGTAGATATTTGCTGCAGACATATTTTGTAGATTTAAAACAGCAGCTTTTCGGCTCGACTGATTCGGCTGTAGGTTTATTTTGTGCTTTATCTGCTGTTTTCAACTCATCTCACACAACCTCACACATCTCGTAACACAAGCACATCTTATTTTGGCAGCATCTTCTTCCCATATAATTGCCTCTATTTTCTCCCGAGCCCTTTCCACCTCCTAACATCAATCTCCAGTCTCTCTCCTCTTTCCGCGCAGTACAAAGACCACTCAGTACCATCTCTGAGACCTCCATTAGACCTCGACCCGGAGCTTAAAAAACACTCCGCAGTCTATGAACCTCCTGGGACCGTCATCAGTTTCGCCGTTTTTTTGTGTGTGTGTCGCTTTCATTAATATGAATCTAAGCTCTCTGCCCTCTCTGCCCGGTGGAAGCGGCACGACTCGGCATCATCTGTTAAACATATCAGAGCCTCAACACAATGCGCTGCTATTAGAGATAATTACTATAATTGCAGCTATTGACAGGATTAAAGGCATCATCTGCAACATCTAAAGGGGCTCTTGTCGTGTCCTATCCTGCTCTGTTGTCTCTTGTGTTTTCTTTTTTTTTTTTATTCCCCTCCCCTCCCCGTGTCCCTCGCTTTTCAGGATGGGAACCAGATGAATTACACCTAGGACAATGAGAGAGAGAGGGGGGGGGGGGGGGGGGGGGGTGAGATAGATGGGTGGAGGTGGAGAATTGTGAGGAGAGATAAGGAGAGTGAGAAGAACGAAGAGAGAGAACTGCACAAGGAGATAAAACACATCAAGTGAGCAATTGGAAACGTGTCAGAGAGAGACAGCGTTCATCCTATGGCTCGATTACATGAATTAATTCAGTGTGCAAATATGATCACTTCATCTCTTGTATCTATTACTGTAATTGCAGCTAATTACAGGATTAAAAGGAAACATCTGGGTGAGATCTAAAGGGACCAGGCCCCCCCCCCTCCTCCACGCTCCCTCCTCCCCCGCCACCTCTCACTCCCTCTTGTCCACTATTCATCTGAGAAAGGACAAATGATGTGGAGGGAAAATGTGATGGAGGGAGGAGGAAGTTTGAGGCGAGGAAAACGTAGAACAGAATGTGGAGGAACAAAACTATCACTTCTTTTTTCTTTTCTTTTTTCTTGCATGGATGAAGAACAGGAGTGAAGAGTGATTATTCTTTTCTCACAGTCTTCTGATCTTCCACCGCCGCAGTTTAATTATTGCTGTTCATTAACGCTGAAAAATTACTCGAAATAATAATAATAACGTGCAGTATCCAAATTATAATCTCTAGACATAAAGGAAACATGTTCGTTTGGTACAAGACCCGACAAAAGCCACATTATCATTTTTTTAATATTGTTTCAGTGAAAATGAAAATATAAAAATGACCACTCCATACTTAAATCGTGAAAATATCTGCCAAAATAATTGCAATATCATATTTTTTACATGTTGCATGTGACGAAAACATTTCCAATCACAGATTTATAGGAAAATAAATAAGGGCCCGACATGCATTATTCAGTGTCTCTGAACAGTCTCGCCAAGTAAGACCCAAAATCTGAGGAATAAACTGCAAAACTAAAGTAGCAGAGACGTCTGGAGATGTGGGAACGCAGTAACAGCAGATTAGACCAAT